GGAACAGGCCCCGCTGCGGACCCCACCTCAGAGACTCCCTCATCCTCAAGGTCCCCCTCCCTCAGGAACCGCCCTTTGAAGACGCCCTCTCGCATTGACCCCCTCCCTCCGGAATTTCCCCTTCACAGACTCCCACCCTCGGGACCCCCCTCCCTCAGCGCCCCCTGTCCCGCCGCGCCCCTCACAGACCCCTTCCCTCAGCGCTCTCCGCCAGGGGGCGCCCCTCTGCCGCCGCCGCCGCGGCCCCGCCCCCGGCCCCGCGCGCAGCCGCCGTCGTTATGGCAACTGCGCGAGACGGGGTGGGCGGGGGCTCGCCGTGACCCCGCCCGTTGCTCCGCACGTGAGATGGGCGGGGTTATTCATGCCGCGCCCACCTGATCGATAGCACGTCACAAGGGGGGCGGGGTTTAGAGAGCCACGCCCCGTCGTTTCACCCAAAGCGCACGCGCCAATTATCAGGGGTGGGGAGGCTGACCACACCCTTCATTTGCATGTGATGGGCGTGGTCAGAGTCGCGCACGCGCAGAAGGAGGGCGTGGTTCCGGTTGGGCGTGGCAGGGTGTGGCAGGGCGGGGCGTGACGTAAATCGCGCGCGTGCGCGCGGCGGGGGCGTGCCGTCCGGAGCGCGCATGCGAGGGGGAAGGGGGCCTGCAACCAGTATGGAGCTCATGAGCCCCAGTTTGGGGGTCCCTGTCCCAGTATGAGCCCCCTCAGACCAGACTCGGGCCGCACCGGCGGGAGAGCCCTGCTCCCGGCACGGAGCGGCCCCACACCGGGACGGAGCCGTCCCGAGCGGTCCGAGCCTCCCTGTCCCGGTACGGAGCCGTCCCGAGCGGTCCGAGCCCCCCTGTCCCGGTACGGAGCGGTCCCGAGCGGTCCGAGCCCCCCTGTCCCGGTACGGAGCCGTCCCGAGCACTCCGAGCCCCCTTGTCCCGGTACGGAGCGGTCCCGAGCGGTCCGAGCCCCCCTGTCCCGGTACGGAGCGGTCCTAAGCAGTATGAACCCCCCTGTCCCGGTACGGAGCGGTCCCGAGCGGTTCGAGCCCCCCTGTCCCGGTACGGAGCGGTCCCGAGCACTCAGGGCCCCCCTGTCCCGGTACGGAGCGGTCCCGAGCGGTCCGAGCCCCCCTGTCCCGGTACGGAGCGGTCCCGAGCGGTCCGAGCCCCCCTGTCCCGGTACGGAGCGGTCCCGAGTGGTCCGAGCCCCCCTGTCCCGGTACGGCTTGGTCCCGAGCGGTCCGAGCCCCCCTGTCCCGGTACGGAGCGGTCCCGAGTGGTCCGAGCCCCCCTGTCCCGGTACGGCTTGGTCCCGAGCGGTCCGAGCCCCCCTGTCCCGGTACGGAGCGGTCCCGAGTGGTCCGAGCCCCCCTGTCCCGGTACGGAGCGGTCCCGAGCGGTCCGAGCCCCCCTGTCCCGGTACGGAGCGGTCCCGAGCACTCCGGGCTCCCCCGTCCCGGTACGGAGCGGTCCCGAGCACTCCGAGCCCCCTTGTCCCGGTCCAGCCCAGCATCACCTCCAGCCCCCCTCAATTTCTGGGGAAACGCCCCCAGGCCATTCCCTCCCACCTCCCCCTCAGATCCCACAGCTCCCGGGTCCGTTTTCCTTCAATAAATTCCCTACCGGGGGACTTTTTCCCGGCACACCCCAGAGAAAACCGATGGAAAACGAAATCCCTCCCTCTCCCAGTCACCCAAACTATCAAAATCAAATTCACGGCAAAATTTAAATATTTTGCGAGCTCCAGAGGCACCGCCTGCCCGGCCTGTGCGTGTCCCATGGAAATTTTATGGATCATTTCTTCTCTCCTTCCCAGGAGCGAAATTTCAGGCGGAAGGAGAATTCCCGGCTCTCCTTCCTTCCCGCGCCGTCCCGGGGGCTGTGGCATGAAGAAGGGCTGGAAAAGGAGAAGGGAGTGGGATTGGGAAAAGAGAAATCCCTGCCAGTCCCTTGGGATGCGCTGCGGGATGAGCTCGGCCCCGCAGAGAATTCCCAGAGCAGGAAAAGAACCGAAAATTCCCCCCACAGCCTCCTCTCGGCTCCTATCGCGTCCTGGGCTGGATCCCGGTGTTTTTACCAATTTTTTTCTGCCCCCAAACCCAGCGGGAATGGGCGGAAGGGGGAGAAGCCCCTTTTCCACCCAGCAGGCGGGATTGTGGAAGCGCTTCCCGGGAAATCTCTGCTCTCCCGGGATGGGGCGAGCCCGGACCCACCCCCGGAGGAGCTCCGGGATGAGGGAGCGCTGCTCCAAGGACAGGGAAATACCGGATTGAGGCTTTCCCCTCTTTTCCCTGTGTCCTTCAGGGATTTCTGAGCCCTGGAACGGGATCGTGGAATCGCGGGATTTTTTGGGAGGGACCTTGGAGCTCATCCAGCTCCGTTTGTCCCACACGTGCCGCCCTCCCAGGTGCTCCAAGCCCCGTGCAGGGACAATTCCGGGGTGGCAATGACGATCCGAAAGGTCCCTTCCGAGCCCAAACCATTCCATGAAGATCTGGAGATCCCACTTCCTGCCACTCCACATCCCCGGGCCATCCTCCTCCTCCTCTCCCAGCCCCGCCGATCCCTTTTTCAAGGCTGGAGCAGCACAAAATCCGCGGCTCCCGCTCACAGCTCTTGGAATTTCCAATCAGGAATTAAATCCTCCCGAATCCTGCCCGTGCCGGCTGTCCCGGGGATGCGGAGCAGAGCCGGGATTTGTCCCCAAACCCCTCGTGCCGTGTGGATTGAGGGCAGAAAAGCAGCAGGGAATCAGGAGAGAGGGAGGGAATTTAAACCCTCCTCGGCCTCAAACTTTCCCCGGAGCTCGGGGGGCACAGATTCCTGCCGGGAAAAAGTTAAAAATTTGAATGGAAAATGCGTCCCGCTGGTCTGGTGCATGGCTGTGTCAGTGGGGAAAAGCCTTGGGAGATTTTTGGGACTTTTTTTGGCACGGAAAGAGATCATGGAAAGATCTCAAAAACATCGGGATGGGGATGAGCAGCTTCCACCACTCCCCACCCTTCCGAAATCCTTCCGCGCCACGAAATTGCCTCTGATGAGCTCCCATTTCTTCCCAGACGTTGTTTTCCCCTCCTCAGCCTCATTAAATCAATTTAAAGGCGATTTCGAAGCGTTTTCCCCACGCAAACCGCGGCGGCTGAACCCGGTGCCCGCGGCTGCGGGGGCTCTGCTGCGCCGGGGGCTCGTTTGCTCCCGGGATTTTGGGTTTAGGGGACACCCGATAAACCCTGGAGCAGCAGCAGCAGGGGTTCTCTGGGAGCTCCTCTCGCTGCTTTATTCGGTGCTGCAGGTGGCTGCACCCCGGCTGGGGATTTGAGGAAGGAAAAGGGGAAATTGCCTAATATCCCGATTTTTTAGACTGGGGGTGGAGTGTGCCCAGTCCTTGGGTTGGGGTGGGCTGAGCTAGCTCTGCCAAAAATCCCACATTCCAAGTCACCAATAAGAGGATTTTGGATAGTCAAGGTCGGTTCTTGCTCTGTCCCAAGTACTCTCAGATCCTTCAGGAGCAGCCAAATCTAGGTGTCCTGGGGGTCCCCAGGCTGGGATCACCCTCGGGGTCTGTGGGGACAACGGGAGCAGCCGGAGCCTGCAAAGAGCCGGGAGTGCTGGGGGCGGCACTCCGGTACCGGCGGCGTTTATTCTGTCCCGGTGCAGCTCACCGGGCTTTCGGGAGGGGTGGCAGCCCCCGGAGCACCGGGCGTTGGCACCCCAAGGGTGCCCTGCCCAGCGGGGCACTCCCGGTGGGGCAGAAGGGTCGGGTGGGCAGCGGGAACGGGGTGGGCAGCAAGGATAGGGTGGGCACCGGATGATCAGCAGGGACCGAGTGGGCAGCAAGGACACGGTGGGCAGCGGGGCCGGGTGGGCAGCGGGGCCGGGACCCTCCCGGAAAGCCCCCGCGCTACCGGGAGCCCACGTGCAACGCCACGCCCCCTTCACCGTGACCACGCCCATCTCCGGCCTTATATGGCGGCTGTGGGCGGGACCAAGGCGGTGCCGCGCAGGCAGGGGCGGGGCCGGGGGCGCCGGTTCCCGTCAAAAGGCGGCAGCGGGAGGGGCGGGGGTGGCAGCGGGGCCCGGGCTCAGGTACCGGGGGACACTGGGGACACCGGGGACACCGGGGCCGGGACTCCGGTACCGGACAGTGGGGTTCAGGTCCCGGACAGGGGACACGGGACACCGGCCCCGGCCAAGCCCAGCCCTTCCTTGCGCCCGCCGCGCCTCCGGTGCTCCCCGGGACACGGGGGTGGCCGCTGCGGGCGAACCGGGGGGGTGTCCGGGGCTCCGGGGGCGGTGCGGGCGCCCCGGGGGTGGCGGGATGGGTCCCGGCTCCCGGGCTGTCCCCGGCGGCAGCAGCGCCACGGGCCGGGCGCTGGGGCTCCCCGGTGCTTCCTGGTTTGGGGTTCCCGCGTGTGTCTGACCCCCCCGGTGCCCTGGGAGGGGTCGGGGGTCTCCTGCGCCCCCCCGACTCCTCGTGAGCCCCTAAACTGGGGGGTCTTGGGGCTTTACCTGCTAAAATTCGGATCCCCCTTGGGGTTGGGGTGTCCCCGTCCCGTTCTGGGGGTGGCTCCTGGTTTTGGGGGGCTCAGCCCCGAACACCCCCAGAAATCCGGGAGTTCTGGGGCGTTCCGGGGGGTCCCCACATCCCGGAAAGGCACCGCTGTCCTCCCCCCCTCTGGGGCGCCCCCTTTTTGGGGGGCCCTCGAAATCGGGAAATTCCGGGGTGCCGCGGGGTGTTAATGTGAATTTAGGGCTTCCTGTAAGGTGATTTTGGGGTTCCTGGCGGCCGTGGGAGCGTTCATGTGAATTTAGGGTTTCCTGTAAGGTGATTTTAGCGTTTCCTGTAATGTTGATTTTGGGGTTTCTGGCTGCTCTCGTGATTAAACACCCCATTTAAACCCGCGTTCGAGCTCCCAATTCTGTATTTTTTGGGGGGGGGTTTGGGCCCCCCGACACGGCATTAATCACCTCATTTTTGATTCCCCAGTGCCTTCCCATATTTTGGAGGATCCCGAGCCGTGCCAGCCCCAGGAAAATCAAGGTACGGGGGGATTTTTATGCACCAGGAATTGAGGGATCCTCCCCTGGGCATCCCAAAAGAGTTTTTGGGGCGGTTTGGGGTCGGCAGAGGCGGCTGAGCCGCTCCTTCCTCTCCTTTTCAAGGCTGGAGCTTTGAGAAAAGTTGGGTGTTTTTACTCGGAAAGAGGTTTTCGGGAGAAGCGACGTTTTTGCGGCGTCTCCTCCTCCTCCCCCGGAGCCGCCCGTGACTCATCTTCCTCCGGCTGGGGAAGGAGCCGCGGCTGCGGCGGGACACGAAAATCCCGGGAAATTGCGGTTTAAATTGCGGTTAAACCCGGGAAAAATCCAGGGAAACCAAGGAGAGCAAAAATCCGGGGAGGTGATGGGGAAAGCAAGGTGTGAATGGAGCGAAAATCCCGGGAAATTGGGGTTTAAATCCAGGGAAGTGATGGGGAAATCAAGGGTAGCAGGAATCCCAGGACATTAAGATTAAATCCAGGGAAATCGGGCAGTAAGGGGAGAAAAGTCCAGGGAAATTAAGATTAAACCCAAGGGTGAATGGAGAGAAATCCAGGGAAATATGGGGAAACCAAGGGGAGTAAAAATGGTGTAAATAAAGTTAAATAAAGTTTAAAAAGCCCCGATGTTGGGCTGGACCTGGTGGAAGTGGGGTGAAATAAAGGGGAAAAATTGCCAGGGTGAGATTGGGTTCCCTCTGGAGTCCTGGAGCAAGGAAAATCTGGGATATGATGATGCAGATGATGATGAGGATGATAGGAGATGTCTGCCCCAGATCTGCAGGGCGTGACCAGATCAGGACTGAGATGTCGTAGCAATAACAAAAATCCCAAAAATCAGTTTTTTCCCAGGTAAAAACACGCCTGGGGTTGCGGCTGGGGTTTGTTTCCCTGAATCCTGCTGTGTTTAAGGAGGAATAAATGGAAAATCCAGGTATTTTTTCCCCATTTAATGGCTAATCCTTCTCCAGAGAATAATTTTTAACTTCTTGTGGCCGAGCCAAAGCAAAGCCAGCCTGGCCTGAGCTCCCTGAGGGGAAATTCTGGAATTGTCAGGGATTGAGAGAGGGAAAATCCCAGTTGGAGGTGGGCTAGGATGGAAATAGGAGCCTAAAAAGGAGAGGAATGGGAATGGAAATGGTTCTGGGCATTAAAAATCAAATAAATTCAGGGAGATGATGGTGAGAGGAGCAAAAAATCCAGGGAAATTTTGAGGAAAGCAAGGGGAGCAAAAACCCAGGGAAATTCGGATTAAACTGAGGTGTGGATGGAACAAGAACGTGCCAGGGGCAGCAGTGCCAGGATGTCCCCGGTGCCACCCCCTCACCTCCAGCCTCTGCTGACTCAGCTCCTCCTTGGGCCCATTTCTCTTATCTCGGCCCTTATCAGCTCAACCCTCGCCCTTTTTCCCCGCTAATAAACGGAAAAGGGTGGAAAACAACACCTGGATTTTCATCCGGGCACCCAAAGGCGTTTCCTCCTTCCCAGGAATGCCAGGAGCTGCTCCAGGCTCTCCTGGGCAGGGATTCTCCTTGCCTGGAGCTGTTCCTCATCCTGTTCCTGCTTCCCCCCGGGTGGGAAAGGGGATTTCTGGCACACGAAGCCTCCCTTATTTTTCTCTGGAAAAGTCTGAGCCGTTTCCTGAGGGTTTTGCCACCTTCTCCGTGCCCCAGGCGTGGCTGCTGCTCCAATTTCCCAATTCCAGGCGGCAACGGCTCCGGCTGCTGCATCATCCCCCTCCTCCTCCTCCTCCTCCTCCTCCTCCCTCGGGCAGGTTGAGCTTCTGGGGAATGAGAATCCCCTTTTCCTGGACAGGGATTTGGGCTCTTTGCTGCCCCAGGGAGCTCCCTACAATCCATTCCTGCTCCCAGATATCCCTCCCATCCCCGAAATCCCCGGCTCCAGAGCCTGGCAGGGCCCAGCTCTATGTTCAGGACTTGTCCCCTGGCCCTGGGCTCACCTGGGAGGGGACAGCAAATCCCAGATTTCCTGGGAATTGCCACAGCTGGGAATCACCTGCGTGGCTCCACACCTTCCCAGGGCTCTTCTGGGGCTGTTTCCAGCACAAAACGAGGATTTTACTCCTCAGTATGGGGCTGGTGCTGCCCTTCCACCTCTCCTTTGGGAATTTTTCCATAGGGAGAGCCCTTCCCAGCACAGTTTTGCTGGAATTATGGGGTCTTTTCCCATTTCCTCCTGGTGTCCTATGCCTGAGGGAGTCCTGGGCTCTACAATCCCTTCCTGAAGGGCCGGGACCCTCTAAGAATTCCATGGAAAAACCTGGATTTGTGTCCTGCTGCTGCCCAGGGTGGCCCTGGGTACACTGCCTGGGACAGGGCACAGAAATTGGGGTTTTGGGGCTGTTTCATTCCTGGAGAGGCCCCGACCCCACGTGGGATCCCAAGGCCGTGGACTCCAGGCTCTTCCTTGGAATCCTGGAAAATCCCAAATTGGGATCGTCCACTCCAACCCCTGGCCCTACACTGGACACAAAAATCCCAAATATCCCTGAGGATTCTGCACAAACTCCTTGAGCTGCAGCAGCCTCGGGGCCCTGACCATTCCCTGGGAAGCTTTTCCACCCTCTGGATGAGGAATTTTCCCTAAAATCCACCCTAAACCTTCCCAGGGATGCTGTCCCAGCAGCTTCAGATGATCCTTGCTCCAGTCCCAGGAATTAAGGTTGAAATTCCCCAAATTCCAGCTCCTCTCCCCAATCCCTGTTTTCAGGGCAGATTTCAGGAGCATTGTGCTGGAATTTTGCTGGAATTTTGCTCCCTCTGGGGCAAAAAAAAAAAAAAAAAAAAAGCCCCAAGGGAGGCTGGAAATGGGTAAAAAAATAAAAATCCACGTTGAAAATTCCTGTGAGTTGTGTTTTCCCGGGGTGGCTTTCTCTCTCCGGAGGGTGACGGAGCAAAAACCTGTTTGGGAATATTTCGAAATCCAGGGAGAAGCTCCGGAGGAGTTCTGGAATTTCCCACAAGCAGGGGCAGCTTCTGCCTGTCAGCCTTCCCTGGATTTTGTCTGGGATGTGAGAGGAAGGAATTGGACAGCCTGGGATTAGGGATTAGGAAATAAAGGAGCAAGGGGAAGGATTTGGGGCCGGAGGAGGGAATCCAGGAAGGGTTCAGGAGACACAAGGGGAGATTCTGTGGGGAAAATTCCCATTCCTGCATTTTTTTGAGTTTTTCCTCAGAAAAGGGGGAAAGCTTCTCCATGGAATGACCACAGTGGTGCTGGAGGGATCTTTTTTTGGGGTAAAATCCCGGGAAAAGCTGGGCTCAGTTGGATTTTCCCATTTAGAAGGAGCAGTGGGATGTGTTTGGAGCCCAGGGAACGGCAATCCAAGGGGTTAACCTGGAATATTCCCAATTTTTTATGGGAATATTGAGAGAAAACCAGGATCTGTGGATCCCAAATTCCTCACCCCAGCGTTCCCTCCTGTGCCAGGGCTGGGAGCTCTGGAGTTGCCAGGCTCGTTTTTCCCAGCTGGAATTCCCAGGGTGTTGGATCTGTCCTTGCTCTTTGCTCTGATTCCGTTGGGAAACTTTCACCCCTTCCCTCTCCCGGCTTTCCACGGATTTTTATTCATCTGGAATGTCCCAGTGCAGGCGCTCCTGTGGGGTTTTGGGAATTCTTTGGGGATCCCCAGCCCAGCCCCAACCCCAAGGCCCAAATGAAAACAAAATTCCAAAGGAATTAAAGGAATGAAGGTGAAAATCCAGGCTTTGGTTGGGAATGGTGGCAGAGGAGAGCTGGGAATGCTGTCCCAGGGAATTCCCCAAAATCCTCCTCAGGAATCCCTGGAAAACAGCCCCAAAGCAGAGGGAATAATTTAATTGGGAGTTTAATGGGATTTAATGGATTTAAAGGCACAGCTGGAATTTGGGAATGGGCGGGCTTGGAATGGGAAAAAAATCACTTTTTTTTTTTTCTCCTTTTTTAAAGGAAAACATTCCAGTGGCACCAGGTATTTTTAAGTGAGCCTCTCTCAATCTCAGAGCCTTCCCAGCATTCCAGAATCCCAAAAATCTACCAGAATTGTTTTGGGTGGTTTTAATGCCCAGAGCCAACGGGGAATAAAAATTCCTTGCCCAAACCAGGGGGGGGAATCCAAGGTGAATTTTCGGGATGATTTTTAGGCCAAAACCCCCGGCTTTGGCCCGGGTCAGGCGGGATTAAAAGCAAATCCATGACCAATGCTATTTCCCCTGCCAGGCATGGAGCCGGGCGCCTGCAGCACCTCGGGGGCCGAAGGCGCCGGGGAGAGCGAGCGCGGCGCGCCCCGGGTCTGCGGGGTCTGCGGGGACAGAGCCACCGGCTTCCACTTCAACGCCATGACCTGCGAGGGCTGCAAGGGCTTCTTCAGGTGCGCCTGGGCCTCGGGGAGCGCCCCGTCCCAAAAACAACACCCGGGGATCCCAGGGGGAAACCAACGGGGTGCTGGAGATCCAGGTGGTACCGCACTCCCATGGTGTAAAGGGGGGGGAAATTGTTTGGTTTTTTTGTGGGATGGGGTTTTTTCCCCTGTTTTTCCAGGGTTTTTCATGGATCTGGGAGCTTTGCACCCCCCCCATCCCAAAAAACCCTGGGAGTCCCAATGGGAAACCAACAGGGTGCTGAAATAGGCCTGGAATTCCCGGTGGTACCGCATTCCCATGGTGTAAAGGGGGGGGAAATTGGTTTTTTGTTTTGTTTTGGTTTTTTTTTTGTGGGATGGGGTTTTTTCCCCTGTTTTTCCAGGGTTTTTCATAGATCTGGGAACTTTGCACCCCCCCATCCCAAAAAACCCTGGGAGTCCCAATGGGAAACCAACAGGGTGCTGAAATAGGCCTGGAATTCCCGGTGGTGCTGCATTCCCATGGTGTAAAATGAGGGAGAATCGTTGATTTCTTTTGTGGGATGGGCTTTTCCCCTTTTTTTCCAGGGTTTTTCGTGGATCTGGGAGCCTTGCAGTGCTTCAGGACAAGGGGGGAGTGTGGGAAAACTCCCCTGGGGTCACAAATTGGGATTTATCCCCAGCCCTAAAATCTCAGAAAACTTCCCAAAATCCAGCATTTCCAGGGAATTCTGCTGTCCCCCTTGGGAATTCTGGGTCACCCTGGGAATTCTGCCCCCATCCCCACTCCCCCCTGGAGCCCTCCCCACCTCCCAGCACGAATCCTTCACTCCAGGCCAGGAATGAGGCTTGGAATTCTCTATTTTTAGCCCCTGGGATCCCAAATCCGCCTGGGAATGGGTGGCTCAGGAAGGTTTTCATGGAATTCCAGCCCAGCCCGGCTCCGGTGTCACCCTGGGAGCCTCTGGAGCCACCCAAGCTGCAATTTTCATTCCAAACCTGGAATTTTGGCCTGCCCCGAGCCCTGGGAATGTTTTTCCCTGCTCCAAGGCCTCGTTGTTTGTGCATTCTCGGCCTTTTCTTGGGGTTTTGTGGAAAAAAATAAGCTTTTTGTGCACCAAGATTTGGAATTTTGGGGTGTCCAGGGCTGAATTCCAAGCCCTGGGATTGTGTTTCCCCACTGGGAGCAGCAAAATTCCAAAGGTTTTGGAGGAATGGGGGGAAACAGGGCCCTGCCATCCATTTTTCTGGGATGAATTCCCAAAAATCCCAAATTCCTGTCAGGAAAAGGCAGAGTGCAGCCACTTTGTTTACCTCTCCCTTTCTAAAAGCAGCTTTTAATTCCTGGGGCTGCAGCCCGAGGGAACCTTGAAGATTTTTACCCAGATTTGATTCTTTTACCCATTTTAAAATATTTTACTTTATATTTTACTAAATATTTTATTTTGTTACCCATATTTGATATTTTAGCCCATATTCGACATATTTTACCCCTATTTAATATTTTTTTACCCATTTTTTTATCTGAGTATTGGCCTTGGGCACTTGCAGGGATGGGGCAGCCACAGCTTTTCTGGGAATTCTATTCCAGGGCCTCACAGGGAGGAATTTCTTCCCAATATCCTATCTACCACCTTTTTCCCGGGAAACTCTGGCTCTGACCCTCTGTGCTGGGAAGATTCTGATCATTTTTCCTTGGATGTTTCTGCCCTTGACCCTTTGTCCTTGGGGTATTTTGGCTCAGACCCTTTACCCCAGGAAGATTTTGCCTCTGACCTTTTGTCCTGGAAGGTTCTGACCCTTTTTCCTTGGAAATTCTGGCTCTGGCCGTTATTCCTTGGAAGGTTTTGGCTCTGCCCCGTTGTGCTGGCAGGCTCTGACCCTTTTGCCTGGGTTATTTTGGCTCTGACCCTTTGTCCTGATGGCTCCACGTTCCCATTCCGCTGTGGTTTCCCTGCAGCTCAGGGTTGTCATTTTCAGGCTCCTTTCTCTGTGTCCTGCAGCGAGAATTCCTCTCCCTGCACACCCAAAATGTGCTCGGGCCAGTTCTGCCAGCAAAGCCGGGCTTAGGGCGGCTGGGTTTAAACCACACAGCCCCAGCTCGGGTTTATTTTGCTGCCGGGGGAGTTTCTCTGCAATCCTGCAATCCTTCCACCCTCCCGGCCTTAAAAATCCCTGTTTAAACCCAAAACCTTCTTAAACTTACATGCTGGACTGGGCTTAGAGCAGCCTGGTTTAGTGGAAGGGGGTCAAGCTGGGGTTAAGGTCATTTCCCCCAAACCATTTTGGGATAAACCCTTGGGTGTTTCCCTGGGGGAAATTTTCCTTTTCCAGCAGTGTCTGAAGCTCCCAACTTGGCTGATGTTTGCAGCATCAGCCAAACCAGCAGGAACGGAGCCCAAAAAAGGGTTTTTTGTCCCTTTTCCAGGAGGAGCATGAAGAGGAAGGCCATGTTCACCTGTCCCTTCAGCGGGGAGTGCCACATCACCAAGGACAACCGGCGGCACTGCCAGGCCTGCCGGCTGAAACGCTGCCTGGACATCGGCATGATGAAGGAGTGTGAGTGTGCGAGGGCTGGGAGTGTGAGTGTGCAAGGGCTGGGAGTGTCCAGCCCAGGGAATGCTCATGGGGCCCTGGCTGTGCCTCTGCCACCTCCCTGGTGCCAGGGCTGCCGGCTGAAACGCTGCCTGGACATCGGCATGATGAAGGAGTGTGAGTGTGCGAGGACTGGGAGTGTGAGTGTGCAAGGGCTGTGAGTGTGAGTGTGCAAGGGCTGTGAGTGTGCGAGGGCTGTGAGTGTGCAAGGGCTGTGAGTGTGAGTGTGCAATGGGTGTGAGTGTGAGTGTGCAAGGGCTGTGAGTGAGTGTCCAGCCCAGGGAATGCTCACGGGGCCCTGGCTGTGCCTCTGCCACCTCCCTGGTACCAGGCCTGCCGGCTGAAACGCTGCCTGGACATCGGCATGATGAAGGAGTGTGAGTGTGTGAGGGCTGGGAGTGTGCAAGGCTGTGAATGTGAGTGTGCAAGGGCTGTGAGTGTGAGTGTCCAGCCCAGGGAATGCTCACGGGGCCCTGGCTGTGCCTCTGCCACCTCCCTGGTGCCAGGGCTGCCGCTGGGAACCTCCCAGGGATGCAAAGGGCAGGGGAAGCAGCGGGTAATGATTGAGAGGAGCTGGTTTAATGATTCCTTCCCATCCCGGAGTTGTGTCCTCATGGATTCTCCTGGGGTTTTCTTTGAGGAAAATCAGCTCCATGGCTCCCAATGGCTCTGAAAAGTTTCTTTTCCAGCATTTTCCATGCTCCACAGGGAGAACTGGATGAGCTCCCCCATCCCCATGGAGCCAGGTTGGGCTTTTCTCTTCTCCCTCTGGGATTTTTTTTTTCTGACCCTTTTTTCCATGTGGGACAAAGCAGGGACTTAAGTCAACAGCAGAGGGAATTAAAGTGGTTTTTAAGCCCAGTCCAAACACACAAATGTGGCCCAAATGTTTGTTTTCTCCGGGTGTATTTAGAGATAAGTGGCTTTTAAAAATAAAGCGTGTTTGAGGTGCTGGGGAGAAGCTGGGTGCTCCTGGAGAGCTCCAACCTAACATTTTTTGCTGGGAGATTGTGGCCAGGGTGTCCATGGAGCTGGAAATTCAGGCTATGGAAGCAGGGCCCTTTCCCTGATGTGCTAAACAGGGTGCAAACAGAGCCTGATGTCACCCCAGGGCCTCCAGAAAATCAGAATTTGGAGTGTTTGTGAGGGAAAAAATGCTTACATTCTCAAAGATCCTGATGGGAATCCCTGGATTTTATTCTTTGGGATTGGCAGGTTGATGAGGGAGGAAAAGGCCACATCCCACCCTGGCTGTCCCCAGATTCTGGGGAGTTGTCCCTGTTTTTTGAGGAGCCCCTAATGAAGGAAGTGCTTTCATTTGTACCAGCAGTAATTAATTACCCAGGAAGGGCTAGCAAGTTGTTGGGCAGCAATTCCAGGAGGTTTTCTTCAGGTTTTCTCCACGTTTTCCACACAGGAGTTAACGTGTAAACAGCCCCGTTAGCAAATCCTGCCTGCATTAACCAAAACTGACCCAGACAGGCTAAAAATAGCTAAAAATGGACTTTGCCGCTGGAAAAATGAGGGAGGACGAAGGGTTGGGGTTATTTTTAGGTGGAAGAAGGGAATCGGGAAGGTTTTGAGGCCTTGTTTTCCACAGGGTGTTGGAATTCAGGGCTGGGAATGTGGGGTAGGGAGGAAGAAGAGGAAGAGGAGCAGGGCAGACCCTCGAGCTGGGGATAATTTGGACTCTTCCCCACCTCTGGAATTTGGGGTTGGTCCCAGTTTGGGGCAGGAGGAGCTGGGTCTGGCCAGCTGAGGGGTTTGGTGACCCCAACTCTCCCAGCCCCGTGCCAGGCCCAGGTCACCACGTGGCATTTCCAGCCCCCAGCTTGGGCAAATATTTGTGGTTTTCTGCCTGTCTGGGGACAAGCAGGGCAGAGAAAACCCCTCCAGGCCTTGGGGTTTGGGAGTTCTCAGCCAGGGCCTGTCCCCTCCTCACACGATGGCCTGGGAAATCCGGCCTTTCCCACTTTCAGGGAATTACCCCTTCCCTGCCTTCTTCCAGCTGCCTGCAGCTGAGGAAGGGGTGTCTGTCCCTCAGGGATGTTGAGGCTCCCTTGGGTCCTTCCCTAATAATCCCTAAAAATGGGATTTTTAACAGCTCCTGCTCTTTGTGCAGCGCCGGGGTGGGTGAGCCCGAGCAGGCCCCTGTGGATCTGATGCTTTTTGTGATAAAAACTGGCAAGGGGAAATGGCAAAATCCTCATTTTCCTCCCTGATGGTGGAGGTGGGAGTGACCTTTCGGCCCCTCCTGAGGTGTCCCAGGCCCCTGTGAGGTTGTGCAAGGCTGGGGAATGGAAAATGGAGAATGGAAAATCGCCCTTGGCCAAAGGAGCAGGCGAGGCCGAGGCCTCCTTGCCTCGAGCTCCTCCCGCTCACCTCTCGCCCCAAATTCCACCTTGACCCTCCCAGCACGGGGTTCCTGCACCAGAAAACTCAGAAACAGCCCCTGGAGTGTCCCTGCAGAAAGGGCTGAGGAAAGGGAACTCCTTTTTCCTTTCCTCCTCCTCCAAAACAGAGCTTTGAGGGGGCTCTGCTGTGACCCCAGAGGTTTCTGCAGCTCCCCGCTGCCTTTGTCCCTTACAGCCCCTCTGAGGCTGCTCAGGGCTTGCAGTAGTTGATAAAAAAGTGAAGATTTGAGCCCAAATTGCCCTCAGCTGCTCCCTTTCCCTGAGCAAACAGGCCCAGCCTTGCGTGGAGCCCAACCTTTGGCCGCTGCTGAGCGCTGCCACCCCAATAAAAGCCATAAATCCCCAGCCCTGAGTGCCTTGACCTTAAAAATCAGATTAAATCTGCCCTGAAGCAGCGCTGGACACCCCTGGTGGCAGCTGGGAGCCGAGAGTTTCGGGATTTGAGAGGGCTGAGCAAACAGGGAGGGAGCAGAGCGGCCACGGGGCACGGCTGGCATGGCCTCGGTGCCCCCAGAGCCTCCCCTGAAAGCAGCAAAACCTCCTGGGCACAGCAGGAAACTGGGGCCAAGCTGTTGGAGGGGCACAAAGGGATTTTCCAAGGGCTGGCTGTGGCATCCAGGGGTCGTTCCAATCCCTGATTCCACCCCTTTTCCTCTCCCAGTCATCCTTACGGACGAGGAGGTGCAGAGGAAGAGGGAGATGATCTTGAAGAGGAAGGAGGAGGAAGCCCTGAGGGAAAGCCTCAAACCCAAACTCTCAGAGGAGCAGCAGAAAGTCATCGACATCCTGCTCGAGGCCCATCGCAAAACCTATGACCCCACCTACGCTGACTTCACCAAATTTCGGGTAATGACCCCAAAAAATATCTTTCATCCTTCAAATTCCCCCTGCAAAATCCACAGACCCCTCTGCCAGCCCCGTTCCTCAAGGAGTTTTCTCTGTTTTCTCCCCCAGCCCCCTGTGAGGAGCCACCCCAGCAGCAGAGGGGCCACAAAATCCTCGTCCCTACTCACCCAGGACCTGTCCTCGGAGGATTCCTCGGATCTCTTCGGCTCCGAGGCCTTCAGCACATTCCCAGGTGTGCCCCAGCTCCTCCTGGCCCCAAACTGGGATTGGCAGCCAGGGAGGGACCCCAGGACCCACCTTGGGCTGGAGGTGACGCCTTAAACCACCCCAAATTCCAGGGGAGGGGATGGGCTGTGCCAGAGCCCAAATCAACCCCAGCACAAGGGTCTGCCCTGCTCCTCTTCCTCCTCTTCCTCCTCATCCCACATTCCCCGACTGGGATCCCAAACCAGCCCTGAATCCCAACACCCTGTGGAGAACCTGGCCTCAAAAGCCCCCAGATTCCCTCCCCTCACCCCTCCAGGGGTCAGGGGGTCAGAAATGCAGCCCCTCGACCCAGATTTGGGGTTCCAGAGCCTCTGTTCAGCTCTGGGGGCTCACTGGGGTGCTCAGAGCGTTTCCCCCTGCAGACCCCACGGAGCCGCCGCCGTTCCCCAGCCTGGGGCTGCGGGAGGAGCAGGACGAGAGCTCCTCAGTGAACCTGGAGTTCTCCCAGCTCTCCATGCTCCCACACCTGGCTGACTTGGTCAGCTACAGCATCCAGAAGGTGATCGGCTTTGCCAAGATGATCCCGGGATTCAGGTGAGGCTGCGGATCCCACATCTGGTGTGTCCTGCTCCTGGGAATCCCGTGCTGCCCCTCCCAGCCATTCCTCAGCCCTGTTCCCTTCCCAGCTCTGCTCTCTGTCTCTCCCCCTCCCCGGGGTTCTCCCCTTTTTCCAATACCCTGGAAAACACACACAGATTCCACCCAGAGCCCCTGCAGCACCCAAGGGGCCCAGGAGGGGCCTTGGGCTCTGTTCATTCTAAGATTTGGGACCAAAATGCACATGAAAAAAACCTTGGAATGGGAATTCCTGGGGAGGGAGCCTCAGCTGAGGGCCTGGTGAGCACCCTGGGGGTGGCAGCTCCTCCTGGCCCTGTCCTGTGTCCCCTGTGTCCCCTGAGCACCCCGACCCCCACCCAGAGGGCAAATCCTCCTGCAGGGATCTGTCTGTGGAGGACCAGATCGTGCTGCTCAAGTGCAGCGCCATGGAGGTGATCATGCTGCGCTCCAACGAGTCCTTCACCCTCGAGGACATGTCCTGGACCTGCGGCAGCAGCGACTTCAAGTACAAGGTCAGCGACGTCACCCAAGGTAAGGGAGCCCCAGCCCCAAATCCTGAAATTCCCTGACTTTCCTCCTGCTGGCCCTTCTCTGCACCTGGTTGAGAATGGGGGTGAGTCCTGCCCCAAATTCTGGGGGTTTGGGGGTGACAAGTGGTGCTTCAAGGTCTGCAGTGGCGCCTCAGTGTCTCCAGTGCCACCTCCTCAATGGCCCCAGTGCCACCCCCATGTGTATGAAAAAATCCCCATCCAAAGGGAAAGATCCCCTTCCAGAGGAAAAGAACCTTTTCCAGAGCCCCCCTGAGGCCCCGTTCTCTCTGCAGCCGGGCACAGCATGGACCTGCTGGAGCCGCTGGTGAAGTTCCAGGTGGGGCTGAAGAAGCTGAACCTGCATGAGGAGGAGCACGTGCTGCTCATGGCCATCTGCATCCTGTCCCCAGGTAGGGACAGACCTACCCCGAATCCTAAAAACCCACAAAAGGGAGGGGAAAAACCCATAAGTACAGCTGACCCTAAAAAGGGATGAAAGGAAGGGAAACCCCCCGACCATAAAAAGGGACAAAAGGGAAGGGAATTATCCCAAACCCTAAAAAGGGGTGAAATGGAAGGAATCCCCCCAAACCCTAAAAACCCACAAAAGGCAGGAAATCCCCCCAAAGCCCTAAAAAGGGGTGAAAGGGAAGGGAATCATCCCAGACCATAAAAAGCCCCAAAAGGCAGGGAATCCCCCAGACCCCTGTCACCCCCCAGCAGCGGGGGCTGCCCTGAGCGCTGCCCGTCCCGCAGACCGGCCGGGCGTGCGGGAGCCGCTGCGGGTGGAGGCGCTGCAGGAGCGGCTCTCGGAGGTGCTGCAGAGCTACATCCGCGCCCGGCACGCCGCGCCCGGCGGCCGCCTGCTCTACGCCAAGATGATCCAGAAGCTGGCGGACCTGCGCAGCCTGAACGAGGAGCACTCGCGGCAGTACCGCTGTCTGTCCTTCCAGCCCGAGCACAGCATGCAGCTCACGCCGCTGCTGCTCGAGGTCTTCGGCAACGAGATCTCCTGAGCGCCCGCACGGCAGGAGCGGCCCCGCAGCCCCGCGGGACAGGGAACAGCGCTGGGTGTGCGGGAGGAGCTGAGCCCGGGCAGGGGTCGGGGGTTGGTCCCCGCAGCTGGTGGTGCATCCCTCCGCGGGTGTTTGGGGCCGGGCTGCCCCGAATCCCTTCTTGTTGCGAATGTATGGAAGGGCAAGTGCCAGGAGATGAACTGGGATGAGCCAGGGGCAGCCGAGAAAGCCCCGAGGGCGGAAATGTCCTCGACCCTCAAAGGGAAGAGCAGGACGAGCTTTGTTTGCACTCCCTGGGAAGGGGGGAGCAGGGGCATCTCCAGGAGACGCCCCCACTTTGGAGCTGGACCCCTCTGCGGGATGGGGTGATGACTGCTGGGATGGGACAGGGACCCCAGTTCCAGCTTGGCCTCCTCCCTCTGCCATGTTCTGAAGGCGGCTCCAGGCCCTTGTACCCACCCGGAGCAAGGGGGCTTTGGGAGCTGGGGGGCTCCAGAGCCATGGGAAGAGCCATGACAGCCTCCCCGGGCCACGAGCAATGGTCAGAGGGTCCCCGGTGTCCGGAGGGTCTCCGGCTCGGGCCAATAAACTCCTGCTTGGGCAAACCAACTCAGCGCCAGGCTCGTGTGTCCGTCCATCCATCCATCCATCCATCCATCCATCCATCCATCCATCCATCCATCCATCCATCCATCCATCCATCCATCCATCCATCCATCCATCCATCCATCCATCCATCCATCCATCCATCCATCCATCCATCCATCCCTGTCTCTCTGACCATCCCTGGGTCCCCGGGGCCGTGCAGGACCCCGTGTGTGTCAGCCCCGGAGGTTTCCGTGTGTCCTCGTCCCTCGATCCCGGTCCCGCCCGCCAGAGGGCGCTCGCCACATCGAACAGACTCTTTGGCCCCGCCCCCTGCACGTGCGCACTCGCCGGGGGCGGGGCTGATCCCGCGCAAGCGCGGGACAAAATTGGCGCGAAGTTTTTGCGATGAGGGGGCGTGGCCCTGTGGGGGCGTGGCCTCCCCGTTGCCATGCGCGGTGCCGCGCGCGCTGGCCCGGCTCGTGGTCATGGCCGCCACCGGTACCGGCACCGGGGCAGGCACCGGGCACAAGCGGCCGCACCCCGAGCCCGCCCCCCGCATCGGCACCCACGACGGCACCTTCCACTGCGACGAGGCGCTGGCGTGTTTCCTGCTGCGCCTCCTGCCCCGCTACCGGGTACGGCACCGGCAGCGCACCCGGCTCGGGGCATGAACGGGACGGGGGCACCGTGCGGTGCCGGCTCCCGGGCTCTTTCTCCGGGTCGCTCTTCTCTCGGTCCCATCTGGGGGACACTTGAGCCCACCCAGCGGCCGCTCTTCTGTCCCCGGTCCCACCTGGGCGTCCCCCTTGTGTCCCCGGTCCTTCCTCGGGGTCCGTCCCCGCTGTCCCTCGTCACCCGGAGCCGCTCCCGGGGGTCCCGGTGGCCCTGGGGACCCTCACGCGGTGTCCCCTGCAGGACGCGGAGATCGTGCGGACGCGGGACCCGCAGCGCCTGGCCGGCTGCGATGTGGTGGTGGACGTGGGGGGCGAGTACGACCCGGGGCGGCACCGCTACGACCACCACCAGAGGTGAGACCCCCGCCGGGGACAGCGGCACCGCCGGGGGTGCCCGCGGTGACCGCGTGGCCCCGCAGGTCCTTCACGGAGTCCATGCGGAGCCTGCGGCCGGACAAGCCCTGGAGCACCAAGCTGAGCAGCGCTGGGCTCGTCTATTGCCACTTCGGGGCGCAGATCCTGGCGGGGCTCCTGGGGCAGCCCGAGGACGGGCCCGTGGTCTCAGCGCTCTATGACAAGGTGACAGCGGTGGCGGGGGGTCTGTCACCCTGCCGGGGTGACGGTTCTGCCCGGGGCTTGTCCTCGGTGGGGAAAGGGGAGCGGTTCGTGGCAGCTGCTGGGGGTTGTGCTTCCAGCCAGGCTTTGCTCTGCTGTTCCTCCTGTCCTCCCTTGCTGTCCCCTCACTGCTGCTCATATTTCTGTCCCCTCGCTGTCCCCAGCTGTACGAGAACTTTGTGGAGGAGATCGATGCCATGGACAACGGGATCGCGCCGGCGGCGGGGGAGCCGCGCTACGCCCTGAGCACCACCCTGAGCGCCCGCGTGGGGCACCTGAACCCCCGCTGGAATGACCCCGACCAGGACACCGAGGTGGGGACAGCCCTGGGGACAGCCTGCTCGGGGACAGGCCCTGGGGACAGCCTGCTCGGGGACATCGTGCTCAGGGACACCCTGCTTGGGGACACCGCTGACCCCCGTGTCCCCAGGCAGGGTTCAGGAGGGCCATGGAGCTGGTGGGCACGGAGTTCCTGCAGCGCCTGGATTTCTACCACCGGGCCTGGCTGCCGGCGCGGGCGCTGGTGGAAGAGGCCGTGCAGCGCCGCTTCGAGGTAAGGCCGAGCCAGCTGGGGGGAATCTGTGATTTTGGGGGAGAATTGGGGCGTGGGGAGGTCAAATCCCTTCTGTAGAAGCCTCCTGGGGGGCCCCTGCACCCCATATCCTGCACGGCCCCTGCAGGAGGGCACAGGGAGGGGCACGGAGCCCAGGGTGGTGTCGGGGGTCACCCCCGTGTCCCCCCTGCAGGTGGACGCCAGCGGGCAGGTCCTGGAGCTGTCCCAGGGCGGCTGTCCCTGGAAGGAGCACCTGTTCCAGCTGGAGCGGGAGCTGGCCCTGCCCCGGCCGCTGCTGCTCGTGCTGTTCCCGGACCGGGGCGGGCAGTGGCGGGTGCAGAGCGTCCCCACAGCCCCCCACAGCTTCCAGAGCCGGTGAGACCCCTCCCCTGGCCCTGCCACCGCCCCCCGGTGTGGCTGGGGTCACCCTCAAGCCCCGTGTTCCCCCCAGGCTCCCCCTGCCCGAGGCCTGGCGGGGGCTCCGGGACGAGGCGCTGTCTGAGCTGGCCGGAATCCCCGACTGCGTCTTCGTCCACGCCAGCGGCTTCATCGGGGGCAACCGGACCCGGGAGGGAGCCCTGGAGATGGCCCGGAGGGCGCTGGAGCTCGGGGGGGGCACAGAGAGCACGTGAGCCCCCTCCCCAGCGGGGTCACCCCAAAAGGGAGCCCCTGGCCCAGTGTGGGCTCCCAGGGATGTGCAGGGAGCGTTCCCGCTTGGATCCTGGACTCTCCGAGGGATCGGCTGTGCTGGGGGGGCAGCAGCCCCTCCCGGGGGTCTCAGAGCACCCACCCCCCGTGCTGGATGGGTGCCAGCCCAGCCGGAGCCGTTTTGGTGCCGTTTCCTGGGAGTTTGACCCCGTTCCTGTCATGTCCCTGCACCGAAGCACTGCCAGCACCAGTAAAAACCAGCGTGTGCCCAGTGGAGTCGCTGTTTGAGGGGTCCCGGTGGGGCTGAGTGTGACACTGGGAGGGTGCTGCGACTCAGGGACAGCCGTGACCCGCCCCCGGCACCGCTGTGATCCTGCGTGTCACCAGCACCGTGTCACCAGCACCGTGTCACCCTCCCCTCTGCGTGTCACCAACACCGCGGGGGGGTCACGGTGTCCCCTCCCTCCCGCTCCTTGCAGGGCCATGCGGGCGGCCGGGCTCCTGCTGCTGCTGCTGCTGCTGGGGCTGCCCCAGCAACCCCGGGCCGGCTCCCGGTGCCCCGGGGGGGCTCCGCCGGTGCCGCTCGCGCCCAGCGGCCACAACGAGACGCTGGGGAGGGCGGCGGGGACAGCGCGGGCCCCGGACGTGGCGGCGCTGGTGGCCCTGGGCGGGTGGCTGGGCCTGGTCCTGCTCTGCGTGCGCCGGTTCGTGCGGCGGAGCCGGGAGGAGGCGCGGCTGCACCTGCGGGCCCTGCCCTGCGGGGCGCACCGGGAGCGGCGCGAGGAGCAGGAGCCGCTCAGCGGCGGCACCGGGAGCCAACCGGGCGGGCCCGGGGGGTGAAGCCCCCCAGGCTGGCCCCAGCAGCTGCGGTGGGTGCGGAGCCCGGGCCATGGCAGAGCCCCCTGGATCCTGCCCAGCCTCAGGAAGGGGCTGGATGCTGGGGGGGAAGGAAGGGTGGGGGCCCCCTTGCCCTGGGGAGGATTTTGGGGGGCCCGGGGCTGTTGGGGTGGGGGGAGCAGGGACCCTGTGCTGTCCCAGTCCTCCCTGCCAGTGCAGTGTAATCCTGGGATCAAGGGTCTGTAATCCCGGGATTAAGGGTCTGTGATCCCGGGATTTCCCTGTGCCAGCCCCAGCAGCAGCCCCGTTAATCCCCTCGGGGGGGGGCCCAGCTGCTGCCCCCACCCTGCAGGGCCAGGGGGCTCCCCTGGGGCTCCCAGCGCCGGGGTTTGGGGACCCACAGCAGGTTTGGTTCATTCTGGGGGGTTTGATTCACTTTGCTCACCCTCAAGACAAAGCTGGGGGTTGTGTGTGTGGCCAAAACCCACCCCAAACCCCTTCAGCCATCACCTGTCCCCAAAACGGGGCTCTTTGATCCCAAAAGAGCAGTCCTGGCCCATGGGCTGCAGTGGGATCACACCAACAGCTTCTGTGAGTTCACTCCAAGCTGTTCCTGACCCCAAAATCAACTCTGGAGCCCCCAGAACCCTCCCTGACCCACAGGACCTCCCAAATTCACCCCCAAAAATCTTCCAGTCCCATGGGGGTGAGGAAAGAAGACAAGAGGGAGAGAAAATCCACCTTTAATTGGGGCAGGATCCAGCACTGCCAGACCCTGAGCAGGTCTGGGGGGCTCCTGCAGGGAGAGGAGGCTGAGCAGGAGCCTGGGTTGCCCGAGGAGGTCCTGGGGCGCCCAAGGAGGCCCTGAGGAGGCTCTGGGGTGCCCAAGGAGGCTCTGGGGTGCCCAAGAAGGCCCTGAGGTGCCCGAGGAGGCCCTGAGGAGGCCCTGGGGTGCCCGAGGAGGCCCTGGGGTGCCCGTGGAGCCCCTGGGAGCCCCTCAGAGCTCAGAGAAGAGCGGCTGCTCCCGGACGCTGCCCAGCACGGGCGCGGGGCTGCGGCGGGGGCTGCCGCGGGGCTCCAGGGCGCTGATGAAGAAGAAGGGGATGTGGGAGATCCTCCCCGAGGACCAGCACTGCAGGGGACA